TCCCTACATAGTAGCAAAATGACAAGAGCAGTTCCAACCATCACTAACTGAATCAGTGGCATTCTGACAAATAAAAATATATCCTACTTTCTTATGACTCTTTTTAGCATTTTATTGGCTATAATTGCCACATATCTAGTCTGAAACAAATAAATGGGGAAAGTAATGGTAATAAATTCATATTCATCTCATCCTTGAAATTGGTAGTGAAATCACTTTTTCTGAAGCACAGAATTCTTCTGGAAAAAAGAGACAGTGGAAGCATCTGTAATGGTGAAGTACCTAATGCAATACTAAAGAACAGAGGTTCTGTATGTAACCGATAATATTTAAAATGTGTTAATTAGACCTATCTTCCTATTCTGTTTATCAAGTTTTCTGTTAAATGACTCCAGGGACTGTAGCCCACCAGGCTCCTCTCTCCATGGAATTCTCCAGATAAGAAACCTGGAGTGGGCAGACATTCCCTTCTCCAGGGTATCTTCCCAACACAGAGATTGAACTCACAACTTTTGCATTGCAGGCCGGTTCTTTACCATCTGAGTAACCAGGGAAGTTCTGGTAAATGACCAGTAGACCTTATTACTACCAGTAATATCATTTGTTATTATTAAATAAAAATGTGGGTGACTATTTTCTAGTAAACAAATTTGTGTTTTAAAAAGGTAGACTTCAACAAAATGTTATAATTATTTTCTGAATAATCTGTAATAATGATGATTATGATTTATATGAAGATATATTTTGTTAAAACATAGACAGATTCCATATACATATACAGATGAGTATAATGAAAATATAACCTAAATAATGGAGCTTCAGCTTCAGCATCAGTCCTTCCAATGAATATCAGGGTTGATTTGCTTTAGAATTAAGTGTTTTGATCTCCTTGCAGTCTAAGGGATTCTCAAGAGTCTTCTCCATCACCATAATTCAAAAGCATCAGTTCTTTGGTTCTCACCCTTATTTATCATCTAACTTTCACATCCATATATAACTATTGGAAAAACCATAGCTTGACTATATGGACCTTTGTCAGCAAAATAAGGTCTCTGCTTTTTAATACTCTGTCTTGGTTTGTCATAGCTTTTCTTCCAAGGGCAAGATTTTTTTTTTTTTTAATTTCATGGCTACAGTCCATGTCCATAGTGATACTGGAGCCTGAGAAAATAAAATCTGTCACTGCTTCCAATTTTCCCCTTCATCACTATTTGTCATGAAGTGATGGGACCAGGTGCCATGATCTTAGTTTTGTTTTGTTTTGTTTTTAATATTGAATTTCAAGTCAGCTTTTCACTCTCCTCTTTCACACTCATCAAGAGGCTCTTTAGTTTCTCTTCATTTTTTGCCATCACAGTACTATTATCTGCCTGTGTGAGGTTATTGATATATATATATATATATATATATTTTTTTTTTTTCCTGGCGATCTTAATTCCAGATTCTGATTCATCCAGCCTAGCATTTCACATGATATACTCTGCATAAAAGTTGAATAAGCAGGGTGACAATATACAGCCTTGATGTGAAAGTGAAGATTGTTCAGTTGTGTCCTACTTGACTGTATAGTCCATGGAATTCTCCAGGTCAGAATACTGGAGTGGGTAGCTTTTCCCTTCCCCAAGGAATCTTCCCAACCCAGGGATTGAACCCAGGTCTCCTTCATTTCAGGCAGATTCTTTAACAGCTGAGCCACAAGGGAAGCCCAAGAATACTGAAGTGGGTTGCCATTTCCTTCTCCAAGAGAAGGAATAGGCAACCCACTTCAGTACTTCAGTATTCTTGCCTGGAGAATCCCATGGACAGAAATGCCTGGTAGGCTACAGTCCACGGGGTCACAAAGAGTCAGACACAACTGAGCAACTTCACTCACATTCCTTCTCCAGCAGATCTTCCCAACCCATGAATTGCATTGCAGGCAGATTCTATACCAACTAAGCCATGACCGAAGCCCAAGCCTTGGTGTACTATTTCCTATTAGTGAACCAGTCCATTGTTCCATGTCCAGTTCTAACCCACATACAGGTTTAACCCACATACAGGTTTCTTACATGATAGGCAAGGTGGTCTGATATACCCATCTCTTTGAGAATTTTCCAATGTTTGTTGTGATCCACATAGTCAAAGATTTTAGTTTAGTCAATGAAGCAGAAATAGATGCTTTTCTAGAATTCTCTTGCTTTTTCTATGATCTAATGGATGTTGGCAATTTGATCTCTGGTTCCTCTGCCTTTTCTAAATACAGCTGCTACATCTGGAAGTTATTGGTCCGTGTACTGTTGAAGACTAGCTTGAAGAATTTTGAGCCAAACCTTGCCTGCATGTAAAGTTGGAAAAGACTCTGATGTTGGGGAAGATTAAAAGCAAAAGGAGACAGAGATAGCAGAGAATGAGGTAGTTGGATAGGATCACTCAATGAGCATGAATTTGAGCAAACTCTGGAAGATAATGGAGGACAGAGGAGCCTGGAGTACTACAATCCATTGGGTCCCAAAGAGTAAGACACACCTTAGTGACTGAACAACAAAATAGTAAAAAAAAGTGTATACATCTTTATTTATACAATTGTTTTTACTTATCTTTACAATGTTCTGTTGGTTTCTGCCATACAAAAATGCAAATAAGTCATAATTATACACATACCCCCCTCCTTAAGCCCCCATCCAGTTCCCTCATCCCAACCCTCTACATCATCACTGAGCATCATACTGGGTTCTCTGTGTTAATATAGCAACTTCTCACCACCTATCCATTTACACATGATAATGTATGCATGCTGCTGTTGCTTTCTCCATTTGTCTCACTCTCTCCTTCCCTCACTGTGTCCACAAGTCCATTCAATACATGGGAATCTCCATTCCTTCCCTACAAATAGATTTATCAATACATTTTTCTAGATTCCATATATATGCATTAATATGAGATATTTGTTTTTGTCTTCCTGATTTCATTCTGTGTAACAGGCTCTGGGTTTATCCACAGCACTAGAACTGACTCAAATTTGTCCCTTTTTATGGCTGAGTAATATCCCATTGTAGGTATGTACCACATTTCTTTATTCTTTCATCTATCAATGGACATCTAGGTTGCTTCCATGTCTTGGCTATTGTATATAGTGCTGCAATGAACATTGGGCACATGTGTTTTTTAAAATTGTGGTTTTCTCAGGGTATAAAGTAGTGTATATATAAAAATTTTATATATAGCACATATTTTATATACATATATACCATACATATGTATATATGTATGGTATACATTATATATAGTGTATATATAAAAGTGTGGTTTTCTCAGGGTATACAGTAGTGGGCCATATGGTAGATTTATTTATTTATTTTTTAAGGAATCTCTATACTGTTCACTATACAGTATCAGTTTATATTCCTACCAACAGACTAGAAAGTCTTCCTTTTCTTCACACCCTCTCAGCATTTATTGTTTGTAGATTTTCTGATGATGGCCATTCTGACCTATATGAAGTGATAACTCATTGTAGTTTTGATTTGCATACTATTAGTGATGTTGACCATCTTTTCATGTGTTTATTGGCCGTCTGTATGTCTTCTTTGGAGAAACGCTTGTTTAGGTCTTCTGCCTATGTTTGATTGGGCTGTTTGTTTTCCTGATATTGAGCTGCATGAGCTGCTTATATATTTTGGTGATTAATCCTTTGTCAGTTTTTCCCTTTGTGATTATTTTCTCCTTTTCTAAGGGTGATCTTTTAATCGTGTTTATCGATTCTTTTGCAGTGCAAAATTTTTAAGTTAAATTATGTCCTTTTTGTTTGTTTTTGTTGTTATTTTCATTACAAGGTGGGTCAAAGAGGATATTGCTGTGATTATGTCAGTGTTTACAGCCTATGTTTTCCTCAAAGAGCTTCATAGTTTCTGGCCTTATATTTAAGTCCTTAATCCATTTTGAGTTAATTTTTTTGTTACATGTTGCATTTATTGTGCTTTGCAATGTGTTATTTTAGTTGTTTGATACTTTATAAGTATAGCTTAATTAATTTCTATTGTTTGAAATTATTCTAGATTTTGTGACATATTACAACATATAACCTGTGTTAGAAATGTCTCAGGAGACACTGAGATACAGTGTTCATCGAAGACAATAATGTGTTATGCAAATTTCATTGCAGTACTGATTGAAATGGAAAAGCCAAGATTTTGTCCTATTTAGTCCCAGTGCTATGCAGTCCCCTAACTTCAAGTGAAATCCATCCTGTCTACTCTTCACCATAGATAAGTACAAGTACATGCATGCTAATTCGCTTGTTATGTCTGACTGTGTGTGACCATAGAGACTGTAGCCCAGCAATGTGGGATTCTCCAAGCAAAAATATGGAAGTGGGTTGCCATGCCCTCCTCCGGGGGAATCTTCTTGACCCAGGGATTGAACTCACATCTCATAGGTCTCCTGTATTAGCAGGCAGGTTCTTTACCAACAGTGTCACCTGGGAAGCCCATAGATAGAAGAATCTGTGCCAAGGTTGAGGGAAGAAATATGCTTTCAGAGGATCCACAGCTCTACAAAGTTAAGAGAGTGCTGAGTTTCTACCTGCGGATAGTTCAACTATCATTTTATGATTTACTGTACTATACTATTATATACATATTTATACATATATCTAATAAATTATAAAATTATAAATAAAATAATAGTTGGACTATCCACAGTTAGAAACTCAGCCCTCTCAGCTTTGTAGAGCTGTGGGTCCTCTGAAAGCACATTTCTTCCTTCAACCTTGACACAGACTCTTCTATCTTTATGATCTTTAGCATACTTAGTAACACATTCTTCCATAATTCACAATTTTTTTTTTTGTATTAGTAGTACCATAGGGTCACATAAAATTCTGAATGCTTTACTTTGTCATTTTGAAGCTTAAGAGAGTTTGAGAATATTTAATTTTTTTCACAACTGACCTCATATCAATACCTATTATACCAGTGTGGTCTAGGTTAATACACCGTTATACCAGGGGACAGTTTGCTTTAATTCTTGCTGATTATCTGGGTCTCATCTACACCTTGGCCAGCCTTCTCTCTGTCCTCATCTATACCTGGGCCAGCCTTCTCTCTGTCCTCATCTATACCTGGGCCAGCCTTCTCTCTGTCCTCATCTATACCTGGGCCAGCCTTCTCTCTGGCCTCATCTATACCTGGGCCAGCCTTCTGTCTGTCCTCATCTATACCTCGGCCAGCCTTCTCTCTGGCCTCATCTATACCTGGGCCAGCCTTCTGTCTGTCCTCATCTATACCTCGGCCAGCCTTCTCTCTGTCCTCATCTATACCGGGGCCAGCCTTCTCTCTGTCCTCATCTATACCGGGGCCAGCCTTCTCTCTGGCCTCATCTATACCTGGGCCAGCCTTCTCTCTGTCCTCATCTATACCTGGGCCAGCATTCTCTCTGGCCTTAAATTAATAGCCTTCAAAAATTTCCTTAGTGACTTCTGACACTCACAGGTCAAATATTGACAGAAAATAGCGCCCACATGTTCACATTTATTAATTATTATTATTTTTTAAATTAACATATTTCTTTGACTGTTGAGGATCCTGTTGTATAACCATGATAGAGCATATATTGTATTCTGACTTTTTACATGCAGGTTGAATCATTTATGTTAAAAATTGGATGGTGACTTTTAAAACTAAAATATGTACCTTATTTGCTTGCTGATATTTTCTGACAAACCGCCCTAGGGGGAATACATAATGCAAATTGTACCTCACACCTGTGATTACATTATTTGCAAGGAAAAGTGGGAGAAATGAAAAAGATAAAGAAAGAATTAAAAACAAATCCTGTAATTATTAAATAAAAGTTTTTCTTAATATTAATCTAAAATTGGATATCAAAGACCAGTGATTAAGAGAAGTATTTAAAACTCAATGATGCATGCAGACTTATTTTCTGAGCAAAATCCCTCAAAATCCAAATGAAAGAATGTTATTCAGATTGCTTAGTAGGAGGGATTTTGAGAGGAATGCAAACATGTGTGTAGATATTTATTTCTGTCTATAGCAACAGTCCTCAAACTTTTCAGCATCAGGGACTGGTTTCATGAATATATGAATATATATGAATATATATATATATGCCCCCCAAAGACTAGGAAGAGGGAACATTTTAGGATAATGCAAGTGCATTGCATTTATTTTGCTATTTATTTCTATTATTATTACACTGTGGTAATGCGGTAATGTAAACAATTGGGAGTGACTGTAAATACAGATGAAGCTTTGCTCACCTGCCCACCATTCTCCTCCTGCTGTGCAGCCTGGTAGTCATCTGTGGTGTGGGGGTTGGGGAAGGTTGGTCTATACCATGTCCCAAAAGCTCAATCCTGCAGTTGGATTTTGAGATGGTGTAGAATCCTAACTTACTTTTTTGGGGCTTTTAGATAAGAGAACTAGGAATAGCAGATAAACCTATTTTATGGTAGTTTTGAAGGATACTCAGATTGCTTAGAGTTTCAGAGAAAATATTGCTGGAGACTAAATCCAAGCTATTATTTATAAAGGGAGCAGTTGCTAGAGCCCCAATGAAACTTTCAGACTGTTGATGAAGATCAAGGCCAGATCTAACTACATGAGAACTAGACTTCAGATAATGGTAAAACAGTAGCATAGGAAAGTCTCTTTGCCTTAGTTAAGGTCCAGATAGAGGGTGTGAGACTTTGGATGGTGTATCTGATAGATGTGCTCAAGATCTCTGAAATTCAAAACTGACTGAACCCTTCTAAATTGCATATATATGTGTTAGTATGCTGTAATATTCTTTATCTTTCTGGCTTACTTCACTCTGTATAATAGGCTCCAGTTTCATCCATCTCATTAGAACTGATTCAAATGAATTCTTTTTAATGGCTGAGTAATATTCCATGGTGTATATGTACCACAGCTTCCTTATCCATTCATCTGCTGATGGGCATCTAGATTGCTTCCATGTCCTGGCTATTATAAACAGTGCTGCGATGAACATTGGGGTGCACGTGTCTCTTTCAGATCTGGTTTCCTCGGTGTGTATGCCCAGGAGTGGGATTGCTGGGTCATATGGCAGTTCTGTTTCCAGTTTTTTTAGAAATCTCCACACTGTTCTCCATAGTGGTTGTACTAGTTTGCATTCCCACCAGCAGTGTAAGAGGGTTCCCTTTTCTCCACACTCTCTCCAGCATTTATTGCTTGTAGACTTTTGGATAGCAACCATCCTGACTGGAGTGTAATGGTACCTCATTGTCCCAGGTTGGATGCATGAGACCAGTGCTCGGGCCTGGTGCACTGGGAAGACTCAGAGGGATTGGGTAGAGAGGAAGGTGGGAGGGGGCATCGGGATGGGGAATACATGTAAATCCATGGCTGATTCATGTCAATGTGTGACAAAACCCACTACAATGTTGTAATTAGCTTCCAACTAATAAAAATAAATGAAAAAAAAAACTGACTGAACCCTTTAGCCTCATAGAAATGAGATCTTTATCTTGCAAGATGGTAAGAGTACCACTTTCACACGTGAAAACTGTTTAGAATATCAACTGTGTTCGTGTCATAAAACAATATATGACAGCCTCAGGACACTACCACCCATCATGGCCAAAAAATCAAGAATTAACATCAAACTTAGCATACCATGATTTGGGAAGACTGTATTCTAATAATATGGTCCAAAATATTCTAAAGTTCTCTTATTTTTCAAAGTGTCCTATAATTGTCTTCCAGGACTCCAAATGAGATAGTATCTATAATATTTATCCTAAATAACTTAAGTTTTGAGACTAATTATGGCATTCAATAGGAAAAAGGTATCAAGTTTCTGATTTTAGGCTTCATCCTTAGGTCATAGCATTTAATCCTTAAAGTCGACCTGCCAGAGATAAACCAATAATTCTCAAGTCAACTGTATTTAGAAATCAGCTATTTCCCATCAACAAACTCACCATCCTAAGGAATTTGCATTGTTCCCTGCTAATCTCATACATGCAATGCTAATCTCATACATACTCAACAGCCTATCACTGAGCTGCCTGCTCAGAGGCTGTCTCTGCCCTGCCTTTTACAAAATAGCTAATGCTATCATGCTTTATTACCTTGAATGCCTTATCTAATTTTTCTTCAAGGGACTAACACTTCACTTCACTATATCATCTGTGACTTCATTATATCTTCCATGAAAAAATGTTCTATGTTTTATTGCAACTTATTAAAGTCAATACTCAAAGGCTAATCATTAGATATTTTTTTATTTAAATACATCTCTGCTTTAGTATTTAATTTGCTTCTCAGAATAGAAATGTCTATCAAAGAATCCAAGACCTATTTTTATGTACAAAAATATTTGATTATTTTATGATATTCTTCAATTCAGTAAAGAGTACCAGCTAAGGCTGATAATAAAAGAACAATAAAATTTATTTAAATATCTGCACCTATCTAATTTTATAATTATTTACCAACTTTTCTAAATTCTGTTTTCTAGTATCCACCTGCTTAGTAAACTAAACAATATTACACAGTGGATTAAGTTCAGTTCAGTTCAGTCACTCAGTCACGTCCAACTCTTTGTGACCCCATGAATCACAGCACACCAGGCCTTCCTCTCCATCACCAACTCCCGGAGTTTACTCAGCCTCATGCCCATCAAGTCGGTGATGCCATCCAGCCATCTCATGCTCTGTCATCCCCTTCTTCTCCTGCCTCTAATCCCTCCCAGCATCAGGGTCTTTTCCAATGAGTCAACTCTTTGCATCAGGTGGCCAAAGTATTGAAGTTTCAGCTTCAGCATCAGTCCTTCCAATGAACACCCAGGATTGATCTCCTTTAGGATGGACTGGTTGGATCTCCTTGCAGTTCAAGGGACTCTCAAGTATCTTCTCCAACACCACAGTTCAAAAGCATCCATTTTTCAGTGTTCGGCTTTCTTCACAGTCTAAGTCTCACATCCATACATGACCACTGGAAAAACCATGGCCTTGACCAGATGGACCTTTGTTGGCAAAGTAACATCTCTGCTTTTTAATATGCTATCTAGGTTGGTCATAACTTTCCTTCCAAGGAGTAAATGTCTTTTAATTTCATGGCTGCAGTCACCATCTATAGTGATTTTGGAGCCCAAAAAAATGAAGTCCGACACTGTTTCCACTGTCTCCCCATCTATTTCCATGAGGTGATGGGACCAGATGCCATGATCTTAGTTTTCTGAATGTTAAGCTTTAAGCCAACTTTTTTGCTCTTCTCTTTCACTTTTCTCAAGAGGCTTCTTAGTTCCTCTTCACTGTCTGCCGTAAGGGTGGTGTCATCTGCATATTCCCCATTTAAAATGATCCAGGTAGAATGCAAATGTGGGCTTCCCTGGTGGCTCAGATGGTAAAGAATCTTCCTGCAATTCAGGAGACTCATATTTCATATGACAGAGCTATCAGTTCAGTTCAGTTCAGTCGCTCAGTCCTGTCCGACTCTTTGTGACCCCATGCAGCACAACAGGCCTCCCTGTCCATACCAACTACCGGTGTTTACCCAAACTCATGTCCATTATGTCGGTGATGCCATCTAACCATCTCATCCTCCTTCATCCCCTTCTCCTGCCCTCAATCTTTCCCAGAAATCAGGATTTTTTCAAATGAGTCAGCCCTTCATATCAGGTGGCCAAAGTATTGAAGTTTCAGCTTCAACACCAATCCTTCCAATGAACACCAAGGACTGACTTCCTTTAGGATGGACTGGTTGGATCTCCTTGCAGTCCAAGGGACTCTCAAAAGTCTTCCCCAACACTACAGTTCAAAAACATCAATTCTTTGGTGTTCAGCTTTCTTTATGGTCCAACTCTCACGTCCATACATGACTACTGAAAAAACCGTAGCAGGTGTATTGAAAAGCAGAGACATCACTGCCAACAAAGGTTAGTATAGTCAAAGCTATGGTTTTTCCAGTAGTCATGTATGGATGTGAGAATTGGACTGTAAAGAAGGTTGAACACCAAAGAATTGATGGTTTTGAACTGTGCTGCTGGAGAACTCTTGAGAGTCCCTTGGACTGCAAGGAGATCAAACCAGTCAATCCTAAATGAAATCAACCCTGACTATTCACTGGAAAACTAATGCTAAAGCTCCAATACTTTGGTCACCTGAAGTGAAGAGCTGACTCATTTGAAAAGATCCTGATGCTGGGAAAGTATAAGGGAAGGAGATAACAGAGGTTGAAATGGTTGGATGGCATCATTGATTCAATGGACATGAGTTTGAGCAAACTTTGGGAAATAGTGAAGGACAGGGAAGCCTGGCATGCTGCAGTTGACAGGGTTGCAAAGAGTCAGACATGACTGAGCGACTGAACAGTAAAAAGAGGACCCATATGTATCACATGATGTGGTTCTGGCTATGTGATATAAATTAATTTTATACCAATCAACTTCCTTG